ACTATATATCTATTAATTCGTGTATAGCCTTCTCGGGCTATAACAAACCTAACCCGAACAGCACATATTGGTTGACTAACGGTTGGCTTTTAATCGGAAGCATCGGCAGTTGGGAAAACAACGTTGGACCGACATTGTTAAAATGCTACAATCCGATGAATCAGTTAGACACCTTTTTTTATTTATTTGATACGAATGAAAAGGCATTGTTGTGTTTCTTTGTAAATTTTAGCTGTTTTAAAATCTGTCTGCAGTATTTTTAACTATTTTAGTATACATTATTAATCGATTGACGACGCAATACCAACCGTTTGTTGAATGACGTTTAGCCGACGTTAGACCAACCAGCCAATAATTTTTCTCAAGGATGATATATATGTATATTTAAGAAATTTCTTTGATACATGAGTGGCGCTGAGCGCACACAGACATGGCTCCTCTTTGCATGCATATCCCTTTCATCTTCGTTTTGACGGGGCCGCGTACCGCGTACATCGCAACCGCCATTCGGATCGTTTTATGGGTGCTTGTGTTAGTGCATGGTATTGCATTTCAAACAATTTAGACGAGGATGGACGTTTAATAATTAAAATAAGAAAAAGAAGAATCGTGCTCTTGTTTGGATTACAAGTGAGTAACATTTTTATTTGTTTGTATAAAGATTTTTATGGTATTTACTGACAGTTAACAACGAAAAGTAATTCTTAACCTAAAATAATCGTGTTTGCTTGGCAGAAAATTATATTAGGAAGTTAAACGTAGCGTCAAAAATATAGTCAGTATAAAATCGTTCAATAATTTCTTTGACTTTTCTGAAATACTTAAAGTACTTAATTATTAGTAAAAAATTATTAATAATTATAAGTAATTCTGTAAAAATGTTCTTTTGAAACAGTCTCTTTTCTCGGTATGTCTTCCTCTTCTGCATACACCGTAAAAAAAGAAAGGTATATACTAAGATTATATCTTTCTTGTTATAATATCTACAATTATATAATATAATATTCTAATATTTATGTTTTCTTTTTATTTATAGATAAAAATGTTTTCTGTAGTAAATTTTCCTGACGAAGAAAGTTGTGAAGTGATACCAACTTCCTCTCTGGTTAACTGATGGAAATCATAAAACATTCTATCCTCAATATAAAGGAACTCGATTTTGGAAGGCAGTTACAACTTTCGAAACACCAAAATCATGTTGGAAAACACATTCATGTCGAGTTTTGTATCAAACAAGTTAATGTTTTTTTAAAATAGACTTTTAATAATAACTGTTAACATATTTTCAAAATTTAAATTTGACTTTTATTTTATTATCTCTTTTCTCACGGGAATTGAAAGCTCAGTTTGATATGAAACTAATTAGTATAATTTACAGATCTCTTAACAAAAGCTAAATCAAAAAGAGATGGATATCAGTATTTAGATACTGATGAAATTCAAACAGGCACGGAGGTAATCGAAAACCAAATAAATAAAAGAAAACGCTTTCCAAATCAGCGTTATGCATCCAAATCTGCATCTGAAATATCATCTGATGAAGCATCTTTATCCAGTGAAAATGATAAGATACATAGAAATCGAAATTTTATTTCAAAGAACAAGTTTCAATGTCGAAAAAAAGCAAACCTTTACCTGAACCAGAACCTATTAAGTTACCGACTAGTAATGATAATATCCAAAGTAAATTACATAAAACAAATGTTTTCATGTTTTTAGTAAATTATAGAATTTTTTGATAACCTTTGGCTTATGTTTATAGATATCGATAAAGAAATGAGTTCGCATTCTTCTGTACTTAAGACAGCGGCAAGAGTAGCAACAACGTCACAACCGCGAGCAAATACAAGTTTATCTGAAGGTAAAATAAGTTTTTACTATTGTTCATGAGAAAATCAATACTTACTATTACAAACATTAAAATGCTAATAATCAAACATGCTTTCAGGTCAAATCACGAAATTTGTTATTACATTTGAAGATTTTAAGTATGACATAGGCAGTATAAAAAAAGACATCAAATGTATAAAAAACAAACTGTTCAGTGACAATGTTACAGAAAAAAAGTTACCTGAGGAAACAGAGACTCTTATACCTGCCTTATCACTGAGAAATCTTTCAACTTTCAATGAACTTCTGAAACAAAAATTTGTCTTTGCACTTTACGTAAGCAATTATATATGTTGATTTATGTTGTTCTTTCTTAAAATTGTAAAACCTTTATGTTTTGTTTTTCTAAAGTGTTTGCATTTCGTTATAAGAAAAACGAAAACTTTTCCGTTATTCATGGCTATCTTCAAAGAAAATTAGCTAAAAAATTTAAGATGATTTTATTTTTGTTCTTAGGTAAATCATTTTCGCCGCCTTGGAGGAACTTCGCAAGCGGATCGCACACGGAGAATTCTCAGAAGGATTGTTCATAATGAATTAGCAAAAAAATTAAACTGGGCAGGAAGAGGAGCCAAAACAAGCCTTCAATCTTTTGATGCCGTATGCCAACTCATTCTTAGTAAGCCTACAATTACGATTCTTGAAAATAAATTGTGATACAATTTTCATATTGTAAAATTGAGTTTTCTTATACTTTATAGGATCCGCAAGCACTAATCAAGAAACCTCTTATAAGATAACCGAAGAAACAATTAAATCTTGGTTACGTTATGCAATGGATCGAGATGGTGGTCGAAACAGGAAGAAGGAAACTATAAATAACAATCAGACTGATGAATCACAATCAGAAAATTACACGAGTTAAGAATTAAATTTTTTTATGCTTTCTCTTTCCATGGAAAATTTCCAACTTTTTCATTTAATTTTAGATTTGCCATAAAGTAAATCATGGAAAATGATTGCTTTTTACAGATATTATATTACTTTATTTTAAATTACTTTATATTAAGTTACTTTCAGGACATCAATATGATTTTTTACTTTGCTTTTGATAAAAATGATACATTTTGCTGCTATCTATTATTTTGTACAATATAGTACTTTACTTTGTGACATTATTATTTACTGTTAGGAATATTAATATTGCTAGTCAGTAATATATCAATTGCATTTATGTTTGATATAGTTAGTTTTTTTTAAGATAATTTATAACTGTGCAATTATAAAAGTTACTGCTAAACTTAGAAGTTAAATTGTTCATATATAACGTTTTATTTTGAAAAATAAAGACTGATCTTAACATATATAAAAATAATATAATATAACAATATTTATAGTATAGTATAACAATATATATATATATTTTATATAAATATAATAAACAATATTTTATACCAAATTATATTACAATAAAAATTATATTATTTTGTTCAGATTTATTCTAAATTATGTATTGTTCAGTCTTAGAATTAAAACATTTAATTATAGAACTGTTTATTTTATTGCATATATTATATAATAAAGACAACCTCTATATCCGAATTTCAGACATGTCATAATTCTATTACAAAAATTGATTTATTTTGATTTGTTGCTTATGATCTTTCCATTATTGAGGTTTAATTAGTCGACAATTTCTAATCAATAAGTATACGATGTTTAACTAATATTATTTTCATTAACCATACATCACAAAAATAAAATGGACACCAATATATTTTTATTTATATCTGTTATATAGTAATTGCATGTTATTTATATAATTCTAGGAATTCTTGTAATGAGTTAAAATCTATGTGATTTATATGGATGTAATTATAACAGTTGTAGGTAAAAATTTATTGATATCCATTTTATTTTTGGGATCTGTGGTTTTTGAAATTAATATTAGCTAAAAATTATATATTTATTGCAATGCAGACAATGTTGGTCCATTATCATTTGAAATCGTTGGGCCAATATCTACAATTTAGACAGTCGACATATGCGCCGGAGGGCGATCTCGGCCACCGTAGGTAGCGAGATGATGCTCTCTATCCGCGGCGTTTTGCAGGGTTTCTCGGCGACTGGCGCCGTGTCGTGGTCCAACGTTTTTAAAGCGACTTTGCGCTAGAGAGCAGGCGACTGACGCCTAGAACTCTCTTCGGGACTTGTCGTCTGAAAGTAGGCGACTGGCGCCAAGAACTTTCTTGTTGTTTCTTCTCTGCAGGGGGTCTGTCCTATATTCCGGCCGGACGGCTTTCTACTTGCAGGTTGGCCCGGGCGCCTTGCGCCGCCTAGCGGTGCTGCCCGCAACTACGCGCGGACGCGCTATATGCCCGCCGGACTGCTTTCCACATTCTTGTTGTCCCAAGCGTCTTGCGCCGACTAGCGGTGTCTCCCGCACTACGCGCGGACGGGCGAGCGCTTGCGAGAAACGATAATATTTCGCTGCTGTAATTTTGTGGTTGCTGTAGGCCGCCACACTCTTATAAGATAACCGAAGAAACAATTAAATCTTGGTTACGTTATGCAATGGATCGAGATGGTGGTCGAAACAGGAAGAAGGAAGAAAACTATAACAATCAGACTGATGAATCACAATCAGAAAATTACACAAGTTAAGAATTAAATTTTTTTATGCTTTCTCTTTCCATGGAAAATTTCCAACTTTTTCATTTAATTTTAGATTTGCCATAAAGTAAATCATGGAAAATGATTGCTTTTTACAGATATTATATTACTTTATTTTAAATTACTTTATATTAAGTTACTTTCAGGACATCAATATGATTTTTTACTTTGCTCTTGATAAAAATGATACATTTTGCTGCTATCTATTATTTTGTATAATATAGTACTTTACTTTGTGACATTATTATTTACTGTTAGGAATATTAATATTGCTAATCAGTAATATATCAATTGCATTTATGTTTGATATAGTTAGTTTTTTTTAAGATAATTTATAACTGTGCAATTATAAAAGTTACTGCTAAACTTAGAAGTTAAATTGTTCATATATAACGTTTTATTTTGAAAAATAAAGACTGATCTTAACATATATAAAAATAATATAATATAACAATATTTGTAGTATAGTATAACAATATATATATATATATATTTTATATAAATATAATAAACAATATTTTATACCAAATTATATTACAATAAAAATTATATTATTTTGTTCAGATTTATTCTAAATTATGTATTGTTCAGTCTTAGAATTAAAACATTTAATTATATAACTGTTTATTTTATTGCATATATTATATAATAAAGACAAGCTCTATATCCGAATTTCAGATATGTCATAATTCTATTACAAAAATTGATTTATTTTGATTTGTTGCTTATGATCTTTCCATTATTGAGGTTTAATTAGTCGACAATTTCTAATCAATATGTATACGATGTTTAATTAATATTATTTTCATTAACCATACATCACAAAAATAAAATGGACACCAATATATTTTTATTTATATCTGTTATATAGTAATTGCATGTTATTTATATAATTCTAGGAATTCTTGTAATGAGTTAAAATCTATGTGATTTATATGGATGTAATTATAACAGTTGTAGGTAAAAATTTATTGATATCCATTTTATTTTTGGGATCTGTGGTTTTTGAAATTAATATTAGCTAAAAATTATATATTTATTGCAATGCAGACAATGTTGGTCCATTATCATTTGAAATCGTTGGGCCAATATCTACAATTTAGACAGTCGACATACAGGGTGATTCACTGCAATACTAGATTCTTGTCTAATGCCGCTCCCACTGAGAATAAATTGTATTTTAGTTTAGGCACGAACAGTACATTGGCCAAGTGTTTCTCATTCCAGGTGCTACCATCAAAAGCAAGAACATTAATGTCACCTTTTCCAGTTGCGGGTATGTATTTTCCACCGATGCGCACTGTTATTTCTTTTTCAAATGTCTTGAAGTTTACAAACCATTCTCGTTGAGTTGACATATGGTCACTTGCACCTGAGTCTAGAAACCATGTGTCACCGTACTCCCACTGCTCTGTTGTGGATGCCAGGATTTCTACGACAAGTGCGTTTCCCTTCGCCTTATTGTTTGATTCGTCACTGATGCTCCTCTTCTTTTCAGGGCATTCTCTTGCCCAATGACCAGGTTTCTCGCACAAGTGACATTTACCTGGTCTTTGAGTGTTCTTTCCTCTAACTTTACCTCTACCTGCCTTTTTATGAAATCTATTTGTGGCGAGGGCACTTCCCTTTGGATGCTCTCCAGCGCTGTGCCTCATCTCTTCTATGGTGAGTCTGGATTTGAGATTTTCAAGAGTCCTCTCGGTCTACGCTGCTGACTCCCATGCGCTCACAAAATAGTCGTAGCTGTGTGGAAGAGACATGAGAATTTTGGTTATAATCATATTATCTGAGACTTTCTCACCCATAACCTCAAGTTTATGCGCTATGTCCTCCAGTTTTGCCACGTGAGATGCGATGCTGTCTGCACGACTCATTTTCGCGCCATACCACATCTGCTGCAGCATGTGTATGCTTGCTTCTGATTTTTGTTCATATACAGATTTCAGTTTGTTCCACATCTCGGCGGTACTTTCGCAGTTTATAATATGTAAAAGAGCTTGAGGTCCCACTGACGTGCCGATTACTTTCTGTCCAACGCGATCCGCCTTCGTCCAAGCTGCGATCTCTCTTTCGTATTCCGACGCGGCCGCGGCATCTGCGTTCGGAACCGCCACGGGTCGGATCGTCTTGCCGTTTACAACACTCCACGCACCACTGGCGTTCAAAATGACGCAAACTTGGAATTTCCATGAGGCCCAATTCTCGGCTCCTTTCAAATGCACGATCTTGACTATTTCGGTTTCCATTGTCTGTCTCTTCACTCTTTGCACGAAACGAGAGGTTATATCTTAAACGCATCACTCGATATGTAATTTTGGAAAAGCAATTGAAATATTCACCGCCCGATACGCCTGGGCCCATAACCTGTTGAGGTTGTCAGGAAATAAACGGTATTTCACTATGGATTACGGTGATATAAAAGTATATTTGTTAAACTATCGATACATAAAAGGAATAACGTGGTAGCGCGCACAAGAAACAGGAAGGAAGAGAAGAAGAAAAGAAAGACGGAAACGCCTAGTTAGTCGCGCGCTTACAGCATAGAGTAACGAAAAGTAATGAGAGAAAAAATAACTAGTATCTGACTAGGTGCGTCTTTTGAATTAGTCAATAGTTCTAACAAATATCAAAATTAAACAAATTTTATGCGATGCTCCCGCAAAATCTTTCATATTAAATATAAAAGGCCACAGTGGTTATTTTAGTTGCACAAAATGCATAATTGAAAGCGAATATAGAAACGGACGTATTTGTTTTGCAAATATTTATGCTGCAAAGAGAACAAATAATGATTTCTTAAATGAAACAGATGAAAATTTCCACTTAGGCTACACTAATTTAAAACACATACCGCAATTACATTTTATAGAAAACATTTCTCTTGATTACATGCATTTACTTTGTCTTGCAATTATGAGAAAATGTTTGTATATGTGGAAAACAAGTGATTTGAAAATTCGTTTGCACCATCATAAATGTCAAACATTATCAAATAATTTAGAAACTATTAAACAGACCATACCAGTTAAATTTGGAACCGAGATCTTTGGATTATTTGAAACAATGGAAAGCAACTGAATATCGACAAATTTTATTATATACAGGCCCTGTTGTTCTTCAAGAAATACTTCCAAATGATTTATATAATCATTTTCTAACACTTCACGTAGCTATTAGAATTTTATATACCTTATCAAAAGCTTGATTGTATCTTTTCTCTCTATCCATTCTTCAGGTAATCCAGTAACAGCAAGCCGTAGGATTATCACACGATGCACTATCACTATTACGTAAAATAGCACTTTTTATTTTAATAATATGGATCTTTAAAACTGTGCAATCTCACACGAGACTTTAAACGCGTTTCACTGGTAAAATACCATTGAGAAACAACAGAGGAGATAAAACAAATAATCGTTGCAACAA